GGCCAGGAGTTACACCCCTACTCTTTACAAGAAGTGCCATGGGTTTTTTAATGACCACAGAGAGTCAGGACCTCAGTTTAACGTTTCATCCGAAAGACGGCACTTACTGACAATTTGGTGTACTCTTCACTATACTAGGGCATTATAGGACTCACTCAGACCACAGGTTGAGCACCCCCTGCTGGCCTCACTAACCCCACTTCCAACAGCAACCTATAGTTTTCCCATGTGGTCACCCATCCAGGTACTGACCAGGCTCAGCCCTGCTTAGCTTCAGTGAGTAACCGGTCTTGCGCTGCAGAGTTATGTGGCTGTGGCAGGCTGTATGCTAACAACTGAGCCCCCCTTTCGCCTCACAGCAAGAAGGTCGCTGGTTTGAGTCTCGGCTGGGTCAGTTGGCGTTTCTGTATGGAGTTTGCATGTTCTCCCCGTGTTGGCGTGGGTCCGAAGTCATGCGGTACAGGTGAACTGAATAAACTTAATTGGCTGTAGTGTATGCGTGTGGATGAGTGTGTATGGATGTTTCCCAGTACTGGGTTGCAGCTGGAAGGGCATCCGCTGTGTAAAACATGATGAATAAAGGGATTAAGCCGAAGGAAAATGAATGAATGCGGTCAATATTATTAGCCCCCCTTAAGAATTATTTTCTCAATTTGCTACAAAACAAGCCACTGTTATTTAATAGCTTGCCTAGTTGAAATTTTAATCTATTAAAGTCCTTAAATAGCATTTTATGCTGACAATTAATATCTCAAATCACAAAATAAGACAAAAGTAATATGCAGACATCAAAAGAAATCAGATATTACAAGTATTATGTTTAAAGATATGCTGAAAAACTCTTCTCTCCATTAAGCAACACTTGGAACATAATTTTGGTTTCAACCTCACTGTACAAATATTTGTAAATTTGCAGTTTTTACCTAAATGTATTGTTGAAAAATATTCAATATTCATCAATATCGAATGACATAAAATATGATATCGTAATTTTTTTTTTTTTGCAAAATCACCCAGCCCTAGTAAAATATCTGTAATATTCGTAAATTAGCAGTTTTCTGTATTTTGTGATTCATGTTTTTATTTTGTTTTATTGTTCCCTGTTTATTTATGCTCTGGAATTGCATTACGAAACTGATCTTTCTTCCGTCAACTGTTAATCTGGAAAAGTTTAGGAAAGTGACTGTTGTAACATTTTTAATAGTTTTAAGTCATTTATTGTCTGGGTTGGTGTTGTATTTAATGTCAAAAAAAAAAAAACTTGTAATAAAACAAATGGAGAATCAGATTCATTACCACGAATCTGACGAACCGCATTACCTGCTTCCTTTAGACAGTTTGTTTCTGGTTCAAATAACTTGTTTACCCGTTTGTTTATATACAGTAATCATGCAATGTATGTGTAATTATTAAATTGATAAAATTCACAAACAAATAATGTGAATAAACTACTTTACTGTCATTCATTTCCAAAAGTATATTCCAATGTGCATTTGTGGTCAAATAAACTGAAGACCGTTTTTCAATCAGTTCATCTAATTCAACCAAAAGAGCCAGTTCAAAACACCAACATTTCCTGAAGCTTTCAGTTTCAATGTTCAGTTTCTTGAATCATTTATTTTATAAATACCTCGCTGTATCGTCAGTATTATGATTATTAGTTTAGTTTGACTTAAAAAAAAAAATAAAGGGAATCAATTGCGCTATATGAACCTCACAGAACCAGAGTTTCAGCTAAAAATCATCTTAATATAAAATTGAAGCAAAAAGATGAATAAAAAGTAATTTTGGAAAGTCTGATGCTTAATAAGTGAACAGAAAACTTACATTTTCTAGTAAACTATTCTTTAATTTTGGCCACTGTTTACTGCCAATATATGGACAAGCACAAACAGAACCTTTTTTTTAACATTACTCATTGTGCGGTATAATGAAAAAAGAGGAATACACAACATTTGAACAACAGCTGGGTCACTAAATGATTACTCTTTTTACATTTTTACACCCCCTTCAATAATAATAGTCAAGACAATAAGTGTAACTGAATTGCCAAAGAGCTTGTTATTGGATAATTATGTGAAGGTATATATAGTAGGAATCAGAAGACTGAACTGTATTTCTGAGAAGATCTACCCTGTTGTCAGATCAAAGTGTTTTTTAATACATCACAGTGAGCAAACGCTTTCGAAAAAGCACAATGGCTCTCTTTAATTCTGCCGTCTTATTCAGAATCTGCTGATGAATTGTTTTTCTTTTGTGGATGTTTGTGTGTGTATGCGTGTGTGCTGGTTTTGGTGGTTTACAAGGACAGAAATTTGCATGATGACCTGGGTATTGTGGTTATTGTAAAATCTAACCTTAACTTAAGGTAGTTAACTAGAGTACTTTTCCTTTTTTTTTTAAAAATTGTTTTTATTTTTTTTTTCTTAACCTCTTACTCTTCCTATTGCCTATAGAATACAAAAAAACAGGTGTTAAGCCATGAGAACCGAACCGAAAACAGTGTTAAAAAACCGAGCTATGTATTGAACCGTGGGCTAACTGTATTGTTGCATCCCTAGTCCTTACAAACGACAAATAACAACATGTCTGTGTGTGTGCTGGTTTTGGTGGTTTACATGCATAGATATATACACTAGATGTCGCCTGGCCTATTGTTGTCTATTGGACGGAATGCGTCAATAGCGCCGCCATCTTGCTACAGGGTAGCGCTCCTTTGAAATGAATGCTGGACCAAGGTACAGTGGAGGACTGTGGCCATCCAAAGCCAGAGATATACACATATACACATATATCTATGATCGGGAGTTTTCCTGGATGTTAGTATGTAATTTTTTTTTCTAATTACGAAAATTATAATTTTACATCACTTTTCTACATTGATGGACCGCACGAGCATTCCTGACAAAAAGCTTGTGTTTGTGTGTACAGAAATGTACTATTCACCCTCCCTGTTAAATTTGATCTAATCATGTCCTGAAACACACCTCCTCTCCTGCTTTCACTTCTCATACTGACGTAGGGAGCGATTCGCTTGTGAATGAATCCCCCGAACGACTCCTTCACTAACGTTAGACGACAATAATACAAGTTTCTGGCACAGCAGCATCTCGTTGTCATATTTCTTTTGCATTGTTTACTGATTTTATTCAACAAACTTAGCAAAAGCCGAGTGTTTAGTGCGAGTTGGAGCTGCTTTGCCGTATGGTGAATGCAGTAAGAGACTGTTATCATCAATAACGTTACCTGATTAGCACAAAAGTTCATAACATACAAAAACAGAAAAAAAACTTAATATTACCTATGAAATGTTCTGCCTTTGTGCTTTGTTTTCTTTGTTTGCTCATTACTACACCCGTAGACAGCGCTAAAGTCCCGCATCTTCACGTAATAACACTGTCTTGACTAGTGCGGTTGAATGACATTTGTCCTGGGAGCACTGTACCAATGTGGCGGCGCTATTGACGCATGCTCAGGGTCCCTATGCGATATCTAGTGTACATATCTATGGTTTACATGCCCTGAAATTTCTATGATGGCACGGGTATGGCCTGGTACTTGGGTTAAACCGAACCCTAACATTGAGGTGGTTTATGAGGACATACCTTATGTCCTTGTAGTTCAAAATGCTTTAAAAACATGTTTAATGGTGTTTGTTTAACATTCAAAATTGCCACTGGTTTCCTTTGAGTGTTGGGTTTAGGCATAGGACAATACAAAAAGTTTTTGTTTTATAGTTTGAAGTGTTAATAGTGAGCCGTTCACTTGAAATTTTCACCAGATGTTGGTAACAACCAAAAAAAATCACATACGGTATGTAAAGATAACTACACTAATTAGTTTACAAATTAAGTTACGTGTATAACATGAAATGATGCAGGAAAAAAGTATTGAACACATGAAGGGAGGTGTAGAAAGGCAGTGAAAGCCCAGACAGCAGCTGAAACCTCTCAGTAGTTCTTTGGCAACCCTCTGCACTTTATCATTTGTCAAATAATATTATCTACTTCAGTCAAACATCTACATGAGCAGAAGGATGAAGATGAAACTAGGGTGGACACTTCAGCAAGACAATGGTCAAAACACAGCCAAGAACACTCTCAAATGCTTTCAGAGAAAGAAAACCAAGCTGTAGAATGGCCCAGCCAATCACCTGATATGAATCCAATTAAAAAATACAAATTAAAGATCAGATTTCATAGACGAGACCCATGGAACCATCAAGATTTATACACGCTGTTGAAAAACTCACACCTGAGCAATTCTTGTGGCTTCATTCTCCACATGAGAGGCGTCTTTAAGCTGTCATCACCAAACAAGCCGTCGATATAAAGTATTAAATACGTTTCAGCAATTCAGCACTTTCTCCTTGTGTCATTTCATTGTTATCACACATACGTTTATGCTACATTGTGTTAACACATTTTGCTTTATTTCTATGTTTGCATTGTTTGGGTTTTTACCAAAATCACAAACAATTCAAGCTCCTTTAGAAATATTACTCCCAGGAAAAAAACATGAAGTGTTCAATACTTATTTTCCCCGCTGTATTTCTACCATTATCACAAACCCCTATGGAGAGCCCTTACAAACCACCAATACCAAAGTGTGTGTGTGTCTGTGTGTGTGAGAAGGGCAGCTCTATCAGACGTAGTTTAAGAGTTTAGCGCTCACTTCATCTCGCTGGGTCTCTAATCGCTCTTTTGCTCCTCAAATAGCGCCTCTGTTCTCACTCACGGAGCTCTCAGAGATCGTCTGTTCGAATTCAGAAAAAAGTGCAAAGCCTGAGGCTGACAACAGCTCCCATCGCACACATACGTTCTCACTCTCTCACCTTTGTTTCCACCTGCTGATTCTCACTTGCTCTCTTTCACCTTCTAATTCCTCTCACCTCTCCATTGCTTCTCTCCTCTAATGTCTTTTCCCTCTTGAGCTGCGTCTACATTCGTCTCATTCAGCCTAGGAGGGAAAAAAAAGAGGGAAAAAAAGAATTGACTCACCTCCTCCTCCACCTAGAAGTGTCTTGTTAGCTGAAACGACAAAAAGAAAACAGAAGACTCTTCAGGGAAGATGTCAAGAGACATTACTGCAAGAAAAACAGTGACTTATAGGAAGCAATGCCTTACTGGTAATTGACAATACTAACTCAATCAGAATGTAAAGAATTAAAGAGCTTTAACTAATTAAATAGCTCTATATTAATAGCTATATATATATATAATGATATATATATATATATATATATATATATATATATATATAATGATATATATATAATGATATATTGTATCATTATACAAATGTTTGAAATAAAAAAATAAAATTTTAAATAGTTTTGAGTATTTATTTGACCAATAATGATGAGAAATATTATTACAATTTTTAATAACTGTTCTGTAAATTGAATTATTTAAAAATGAAATTTATTCCTGTTAGTAAAAGATGAATTTTCAGCCTCATTTACTGACTCTAAACAGTGTCACATTTTTATATGGAGGTTTTTATTTTCTATTTATATATTTATATTCTAAAATGCAGATTTGCTGTTTAAAACATTATCATTTTCGTTGTTTATAGTACTTTTGATTCACTGATTAAATGTGGTAATTTATTTAAAAGCAATTCATTCATTTATTTTAATTTGTTTTATTGTAATTTATTTTATGTAATTTTATGCTATTTTATTGTATTTTTATTATTTATTTATTTATTTTTTTACTTATTTATTTATTTGTCATTTATTGCATTTAATTTGTTTTATTTAATTTTATTTTATTATTTACTTTATTTTTATTAATTTATGTTATTTTATTGTATTTTTTTATTTATTTATATATTTTAACGCATTTATCTTACACTCTTAGAAAAAAGTTTACAGTGGTACAAATAATGTTCCTTAAGAAACAGTTTTGTACCTTTGTAAAAGTTATACTTTACATGAAAGAGAAAAGACCTCTTTTGATACTGTCAGACCTTTTATGGTACAGTTGAAATGAAGGTACACAATTGTTTCCATAAAAAGGTACATAAGTGTTGGACAACTCCTTTATTACAATATCTATGAAACTAAATATTACTGGAAGGGCAAAGTGATTTTATGAATAAATCCCATATTAAAATAAGAATCATGATTTAAAAGCATATGTTTAAAGAAACTCATAAACATTAATTATTAACCTCCTAAACTCTGGGACTGAGTACGGGGTCGTTAATGTCATTTATTTCCGCATTCTTTCAATTTTAAACGTCCGTACTATCCCGATAACCCCATAAGTGGTTCCGTTTTCTCATCAGTTGGAATAGAATAACTTTTGCATAGATTATGACAGAGAAAATTTTGCTTTTTTCCTATGATTACTGACATTTGCAGGAGCCACCAAAGTTAATTACAGCAAACACAGTACCTAAAAGGTACACTTTCAAGTTTAAGTTTACAAAAAAAGAAAGCGCCTCTCTTTTTCGGAAGGACTTTTTATAACAAAGACAACATATACAATTATTTTATTCACTTCCACCAGTGTTTTATGAAAATTCAAAGGGTTTTCTTTAAAATGATACCAAGCTTTTGCATTTACACCTCTGCATGTGGATTTGGGAAGCTTTTTTTTTATTTGGGTAGCCAAATCCAGGCGGAAACCCCAGATTTTCACTTGACTTTAGGAGATTCTATAAAAAGTTTTTTAAAACAAAAACTGCTAAAACAAAACTAAAGGTATTGCAAACTAAACATTTAAGGCATTTTAGTAAACATTTGGTAAGCATTTTCTCATAAATACAGTTTTATTATTGATATACAGTACGCAGATTTTGGGAGTTTGCTTATTTTACTACACACGTGAGCTGGCAAAAATCCATACTAATACATTTTAATATTGTAAAACTAATCAAACATTGTGCATATCTCGTTACAATATGTTTGCATAATTCTATTCCTACTTTGAAATTAAGTAAATTAAATGAACTTTTAAGTGATTAATGAAGTGTTGTATACAGTAAGTAGTATAAGTGACGTGTTGTGATGAAGATGGGAGAATGTATTTCTGTAACATTTTGTGAAAAGTGTTTTTTATTCTTTATTGTGAATGGAAAAGGTGCATTTACACAAAAAGAAACTTCTTTATTTAAACATTGTTAATAAATGTACTTGATGTTTTATAATTACTGAAAATAAATGGACACATATTGGATAAAGCAAAACGCCTTTAAATAGTTCCTGAATGGACACATTTGACACTGTTTTGGTTTCCCCTGGTACAAATCATGTCATTAAAGATACAAACTGCAATGGTACAAATTTGTTTCTTTGTCTTAAGGTACAATTCTGTTCCATAAAAAGGTACTGCAACAGGGACAATGAATTGTACCTTTATTGGCACAACATTGTACCATTTTTTGAGAGTGTATTGTGACCTTACCACTTTTTTATGAGCTCAATGGAGAAAAAAATAAACATGCAGTAACTTTCAGTACCAAAATATAAAAACATTCCATAACATAAGAGCACATAATGTGACCATTTTAAATGTGCCAGTTTTCATGCAGTTAGTATTCAAACTACATTCACTGCCTTGTGCCGCACACAATTTTCTGCTTGCTTAATAACCTAATCAAATTACAGTCATGAGCCTGGTCATCCAATGTGCTAATTGACATTTGCATCAATACAGTAAAAAGCAGGGTCGTGAACCGTGTCATAGGTGAAGCGAAAGCCTTTATCCAATTTTATCAATTAAATTTGTAGATAGAGTGGAGCATTTCATTAAAAAAAAAACTGAATAATCTAAAATATCCTGCTTAAAGGAGTAGTTCACAAAAAATTTACTCCACTCAAATAATAAGTTTCTCTCTTCTGTTGAACACAAAAGAAGTAATAGAAAACCGCACTGTAAAAATGTATCTGTAAATTAGCAGTATTTTGTTATTCATGCTTTTATTTATATTTTTCTAAAATATTTGTTTATTTATGCTTTTGAATTGCATTATGGGTGCTCAATCATTCGCCCAACAACTTTTAGGGCTCCATTTTTTTAACAATCTAGGTGCAAAGTCTACAGTGCATGGTGCAAAAGCATTAAGAGCTTGTCTAAATCCACTTTTGCTATTTTAAGAACAGAAAAATATGCCTTGCACCCTGGTGCATGGTCTAACAGGGTTGTGCTTATTCTCTTAATGAGTTATGTGTGTCTTTTGAGCTAATCTCACATTCAAAATGGTGCATTTGCTACCATTTACATGGCGACTTTGTAAAGTGGAAAAACTGCTTTACTAGTGAGAAAACAGTTGAACAGAGCATCTGCAGAACAAGAGTAAACAATGAGCCTCCTCCATTTGGCTGCTTTACTTACTCTTTACTTTTACTCTTTACTTTACTCCTTTACTATCGTAGAGTAAAGAAACGGTGGAAACTCACTCCACACACTCCACATCTATTAGCCTACATATTTAATTTAGTTTGTTAAGCACAAGGATTTGTTTCAAAACTATTTCTAAATTCAGTTCTAATATCCAGCAAAGGAATAAACCAACTATAATAACAAAGTGTTTATAATAACAAAGAGTTGTACTCAAACACACGTTTATTCCTATGCCCCCATATAGTGACGCATATGTCTCCAAACCCGACAAGTGGACAAATTTAAGCTTGTACCGATAATATTATATTATACATATAATAACTATTAATACTGATAATCATAACATTATACAAAAGCAAATTGTCATGAGTAAACTGAAAAAGCACCCCGACATCGGACATTAGTGTACATCCTGTGTGTATTAAGCAATGTTTAAGCGAGGCGCACAACTAACGCGCTCTGTGCTGGACTTTAGAGCAGCTTTTAGTTGATCAATGGTGCGGTCTATTTCAGTTCATCAAAATAGTAACGCACCAACAATGTGCCTTAACACACCTCCTTTTTAGACCAGCACACCCATAAGTCCACAAAGTGGTGCAAATTGATTTGCCATTTAAACAATGTGGTGCAAAACATAAAAATTACTGTTTCTCTGGTCAGAGAATTGCAACAAATCCACCATACATGTTTTGCGCCTTATTGCGCTGGGTGTATGATAGGGCCCTCAATCTTAAAAAAGTTTGAAAAAGTGACGTTTATGAACATTTTAAAAGTTTAAAGTGGTATATTGTCTGAGTTGTATATTACAGTACAAAATCCTTGTAATCAACTGCAAGTACATTTTCTGTTATTTTACAAACTCATTTCTCTAAATATATTATTTCTTATACATTATTTCAAACTACTAAAATGTCAATAAAAGTCACTTTGTTAATCTCTGGAGTTGCATTTTCAACATCAAAAGTCGACAGAGCAGAGATCAACATCCCATAATGCAATTCACAACCGTAAATAAACTGAAAACACTGAAAGAACAATTATGTAACTCAACGGTTGCATGTTTTCAGCATTCTTCAAAAAATCTTCTTTTGTGCTCAACTCCTAAAGGTTTATGCAACCTATGCTCATTCTGAAAATGTACCTCTACATACATTTCTTGAGAGCACCAAATACGTCCCGGAGATACGTTTTTATTTTCGCGAATCCACCAGAGGCCGCTGTGTACGCATTTTCAGATCTTAAATTTCTCGCTCGCAAGTTCCATTCATGACTGCTGTTCTTACTTAAATCCACCAGAGGCCGCTGTGTAAGTTTTTTCCATTCATGACTGCTGTTCTTACTTAAATCCACTAGAGGCCGCTGTCAACTGAATGACTGACCGACTGAATGACTGATCCACCCTGCTCCTTCCCTAAACCCAACCAATAGTGTTTTAAAAATCACTGATTGACCTGCCCACCCACTTCACTAAACCCAACCGACAATCTTAATAAGCAATCCAGAAAAAGAAAAGCCTCATTTTTACCACATTGTCAGATTTTACCACATTCTCACCATGTTCTTTGTGTTTATTTAATTTTTTTTTGATTCTGCTTATATCTGACCCACTTTCTGGAACCGTTCTTTGCCGGACTCGAACCTTGTCATTGTGGTCGACTCCTCTCTGCGTCTCAAGT